TATCCCGCTGGGGGAGCCATGGAACAGTTGCGGAGTGGAGTTTGCAGACTCTGACCCAGTTGCCCAGTGATCTTGTGCCGATGATGAGGCGAGGTGTTGTGCCTGGCGGCTGGCTTCGTTTCGCCGGACGTTTCGCTGAGGCTGTCTGTCCGGCGCTGATAAGGGTTGAGGGCTGACTCCCTGTCGCGTGCTGATGTCTGCTGAGACTGTGTTCCCAGCGCTGATGAACGTTGATGGCTGGCTTGCTGACGTCTGCTGATGTCCGCTGATGCCCACTGACGCGGTCTGACGGCCGTGGCGTTACACTGACGTACCGTGAATGGTGGGCCGTCCGTACCTCTCTGAGACGTCCGCTGAGTCTGTGCACGTGTGCATACCGTCAGTGACCCCCGCCGGGCGGCCGTCCTATCTGCCGCTGCCGTCTGCCGGAGAGGTACCGCGCGGCGCCGCCGGCGGGGGCCCGCTGGGCCGGACACAGGTGCTGTGCCGCTCAGCCAGCTCTCATGAGCGCCGCTCTCTGATTAATATTGAACGCTGCGCGGAGCGCCGGTTTGATCAGCGCCGCTCAGACGTAATTTGTGAACTGCGCGGAGTGCAGCGGTGTCTGGAAGCCGTCACTTCGTGTGCGCCTGCCTGCAGCCGGTGTGAAATGAGGGTCTCGCGGCGGGCCGCCGCTTAGTGCAGCTGCGCGCCGGGTGAAGAGTATAGGCTGCCATCGCGGCGCATCAATCCTGCCAGGAATGCTGCGCTGATGACGCACATAATTTGGTGTCGGTACGCATGCGACGCGCGATAACTCGGCTCGGTGACGCGTGATAACTCGCTGCGATGACGTGGTGATAACTCGCCGCTAAATTGCCTCTCCCGCGGGGGTCAGCCGCCGCGCCGACAACCGCCCCCGAAAAGTGAAAGGGAAGATGGCCCATGCGACGTGACTTAGCAACGGGTGCCGTCCAGTGACTGGAGTCGTCAATACTTCGGCGATGGCCACTTCAAGAGCGATGCGCAACCGGTGCAGGCTCGATTACGAACATCAACAGTGGCAGACCACAATTGCTCCTGTCTGGACAAACTATCGCTGGTGGATTGACGACCGAAGATGCCTGTCTGTCCGCTGCACTGATCGGCTCGTATCGAACGACCTCACTTCAATTGACCACGTCTGCCGATAACAAATTCACCCGAGTCCGACCGGCCGTCGCACTGCGATTGCTCGTCTGTCTGCGCCGTGCCTGTGACGGCCGGGTCGGACTTTCAAATCAGCTGTGCCTTATGGTCGGCTGCTCGTGTCCGGGGCGACGGAGCGGGCCACGTCACCGGCCTGCGGCGTGAGGTCTCACTCGGCGTCAGGGGACGGTATCGCGCCCGAGCTGACGGCCCCCGATAGCAGTCTGACAGCGCGCGATGGCTGACACGGCACCATGGCAGACATGGTGACCGGTGATCGGCATTTTACTCTGCAAGACAAAGGAAAGGCTGCGGGCTTAGCCACCACAGCCGCGCTGCCGCTGGCTGCTGCTGTCGCTGATGCTGTTGTCGCTGGTGTTGTCCCTGCTGCTGTAACTGCCCGTTTCTCCAGAAGTTGACGTCTTCCGCTGCCGCCTTCCTCTGACGCCGTACCACCCAGGCCGTGTGTTCCGACAGCAATCCCGCGCCGGTCGCCCCCGGTAGGTGCGATGGTGGTAGTGATTGTGGCACAAGCCTGCAGCCGGCAGTCACGACTACATCGCTGCCGCATCCGTCACCGAGGACGAGTCCGACACAGACGTCCCGGGGCCGAGGGCTGGGGAGACTACCGGGTGAGAGTGTCGCCGTCTCCCGCCCCCTGTCCGACGTTACGGAGAGGCTCCAGGTTTGACCACCCAGTCCTCCAAACGCCTCCTTCCGCTGCCGTGACAGTTTTCTGACTGTATCAGCTCGGCAGCGTCGAGGCTCGGTTGACTGGTGGGCTCCATGCAGACCACCGGTATCTTTGCCGTTCCATCTGCTAATATATGGTCTGACATCCCCCGATCAATGTATGGTGCTTCACGGTGACGCTCCTGTCATCCAGAGACCGCCACTGGGGATCTCCGCTTCTCTGCCCGTCCCTGTCCGCCCTCTGCCTCTGCTGTCTACTGCCCTGTCTCTCAACTAATCGCCGATCACTCTGCCGTCGCCGCTGTCGGACAGTGACGTCTCCAGCCCTCACCTGAGCGGCAGGTTACCGGTGCAGCCGCTGAGCTGATAGCGGGCGCGTGCCGCCGCCCCGGCAGACGCCGGCACTCATCAGTGAGCGACTCCGTGTTTACATTCGGCCCGGCCGCCGGCGCATGCTAATGCCGCCTGGTACGTGCCGCTGTCTCGGCAAACGCGGCGCTGAATGGACGGTGGCGCCGCGCGCCGCCGACACGCCCGCCCGGCGCCGGCAGCCCATTGACGCCCCGTTTGAGAACGTCGTTCGCGACGCGGTGCGAAGCGGGTCGGCGTTGACATTGGGCGAGTCTGAGTGTCGGACGCGACCTCGACGCCCGTGGTTCAAACCTACAGTTAGCACCTCGGTGCCGTGAGGTGCCGGTGAATACGTTCCGCGGATGGGCGGGGGAAACAATGGATCAAAGCTCGCTGTCCATTATTGTTTTGTACACAAGTCAGCGGTTTTGACAGCTCATCTTGATGGATTGTTGAAGAAATTAATTAGAAATCTTAATTAATGCAAGATAAATGATCGGGGTCGGGTGTGTATAAGTGATATGCGCGATGACTACGACTGGCGTGCAGTTTTTGCTGGTGACGAAAACAGTGTTGGACGACACTGGGCGGCGGGCGTATACGTCAACCTCCGGTCATCAGTTCCCCCTTCTCCCCTCTCCGCTCCAACTGACCCGGTTGCAGTGACGGCCAGCGGCGATCGGCCGGTGGAGGGGCGGATTGAACAGATTACAGCCTCCCCGCTGTGGTCAGACTGGCCGGCCAATATTGATCAGATGGAGCTGCCGATCGGGGCTCACTGACGGCTGAGCGGTGATGGGTGCACGCGCCGCTGTCTACAGCTGGCCGGTCCAAGGATACCTACTTCTGTCCACTCCTGGCTGAGATCCAGTCCGCTCCTGGCCGCTCCTGGCTTCGCAAGCCCCTGACCGTTCCTGACTGTCTGCCGTGTGTCACCGTTTTGGTATTTATGGGCGGTACACGAGTGTCAAGAGCTGTGTATATTGTTGGCTTGCGAATGCTTTTTCATCAGTTTGGTACTATTCAATCCTTGACGTCTTTGTCGCTAGTTGTGGCCTGACGACGGAGCCATGGGGCGGAAAAGGCGGTATCTTACGTTGTCCAAGATGTAGCATCATACCTAATCCTCTAGCCTGCCAAACTTTCGTTACCCCACCGTCAACCGTCCAGACCATCATCTAGTGTCCACTCCCCCATCCACCGTCTACTGTCTGTCTACAATAAACCATCCACCCGCCGTCCACTACCGTCATCCACCGTTCGCCGTACTCGGTGTCCGTCAGCAGGCGTCATCCGTCATTGACAGGCTGATGACGGATGACGTGCCGCCGGCCGAGATGTGGGGAGATGGCGGCGCATATGTATCCCCGGGTACCAGAAAGGCACTAGCGGAGCCAGGACTGTCATACCGAGCGTAAATGAAATTTGGCTGGATATTGTTGATTGAAACATAACACCGTGCCATGGAAATCGTAAGGCGTACTTAATGGTGATATCGTGTAAAATTCTGGACTTTCCATTTGAAAAGTTATTTGGTGTTATGAACGGTTTGTGCAATATCGGTACATCCGTGATGCAACGTTCACTCTTGTAAGAGACTTGTTTTGCAGTATGTTAAATCGTTACAGCACTCTTCTTAAGCTATCGAGACTATCTGTATTCAGGAGAGGCTTTTTACATTCATGCCGGTGCATTTACGGCATGATATGCATGACATGCCCTAATGCTTTGTCATCACTTGTGTTTTACTCCGCATCCTAGTTTTAATTTCAAACATGCCTTCGAGTGGCTGACAGTTGTGGCGCTTCACTGACGTCATCTTGAATGAATAATAAACACATTGTGGTATAAATATACCCAGATAGCTACCTCGACACGGCCTCGTGCCTCCGAATGACGGGAAGAAATATGTTAACCAAAGACAGGCTCCTAGAAATAGAACCATCAAGCGTTAAAACATGCAACATCAAGACGATCATGTCCCTCTTGTTGCTACACAGCTTCAACGCCCCTCTCTACTGCTCACAAATCTCTACCCTCTCCGCGTTAGACCCTCTCCTCCTCCCCGCCGAGGGCCGCCACGGCAGGTGACCTGGCCTCGCCCGTGACCAGCGGCGACGCGCCTGTGTCAGCCATTGATGAATGGTGGCTGCTGCGCGCTGGGCACATGCACGTGCCTCGGGCGGTGGCGGTTCCTTTGATGTGGTGGACAGCGGCCGCGCAGCAGCCGCTCATAAACCCTGCGGTAATGGCGGGAGGTGAACAGGCGGTGACAGGCTGACCGTCACAGCCAGCGGGGAGGGGCTGGGGAGGGGAAGGTGCCCTCTAGGGAAAGCAGAGGGTTAATGAGGCGCTTCATGAGGCAATGGACATTTAGCTTCGCAGATGACCTACCCGTAGGGAGGTGTCTCACAAGTTTAAAGTTGGGATAGTTCGGTAAAAATGAAGTAGGTACAAATGACGGACGTCTTCGTCGAACGACCAGCCTTTGGCTGCCCACAGAAATAGGATGGAAGGGGTGACACAACGGCGTGTTTAGGTAGTTGGATCTGCGAGTCAGCAGACCTGGTTGATATGCTGGCCTGACTCCTTCGTAGAGCAATGAATTTCAGACTGTTTGACATCCGGCCTGAGGCCAGATGGAAACATCGCTAGGAATGTCATCATGTGGCTATTTCGGTCGTCTTTGATTCTTTATTGCTTATTGATCGCTAGGTTTATTCATAGCTTCTAACGGTATGCATCGGAGTCATTGCAGCTATTGTTCTGTACGAACCTCTCCTCGTCGATTTATCGCTATCATTTTATTGATAGATTTTATGCATTCATGCATTCCTTTTGTGGTTTGCACACACGTGAAAGTGGTTTTTCCTTTCATCGTCCATCCATCGACCAAATGTTTATGGATTACCCATGAGGTTTGGCAAGTGCTCGAGAGTTTCAACTCGCGGCTGAAGGGAAACTCGTTCGACCGTGGAAATAGTAACCGTGACTTGATAGTGGGTTTCCGTGGTTGGAGCACTGGCGAGTGCAGTCACCTGCACGGCAGACGTCCCGTGTGGCACCTGTGGGATCGTGTCGCATATGTACGGCAGTCTCAGCCACGGACAGTGAGAAGTTTGGCGGATGGAGGCAATAGATGGACTGACTGAAGTGTAACACAGTCCCATGAGATCCTCCCCAGAATGTTGTTATCTATTTTCCACCTGGTCTCCCACTGCCGCTTCCTCCACCTGACCCAGCCGGCGCCACCTGATCCTTTACCCCCACTACCGCCGGAGAGTCTCCCTCCCTCGCGCCCGCCGACCGATAACTCCCCAGCCCCACGGCCGTGCAGGCGAACTTTCGATATTTATGCCGACAAAAGCCCTCGTGGTCGAGCTCTTGGCGGCGCTGCTCCGGCGCATAACTCGGCGCGTGTCATTATTTCCGCGGCGCCTCTGGCAGCTTTACGGCGATTTGTGCCGGCTGCGGGTTTAGCCGCGCGGCTAACGAGCGTTTCAGTGCAGTCCGTCAGGATCGGAGCGGGATTGTGTCGCACCGGCCGGCCCTCGCCCACACCGCCTCCGCAGCGTCGCGGCACCGATCGGGTACGCGGGGACGTCTTCATTGGCGACGCTGTATTTCTGCTCAGTTGTCATGGCAATAGATTGCAGCCGTCAGCGTTGATCACGCGGGCTCGATCTTCATTTGGTGCGCTCCGGGGGTCGGCGTGCTGCGTCGCTCGTGCACGGACCATGCAGATGACGGCCGTTCGACGGCGGCTCACCGGGCCGCCGCGCGCGAACCACGCGATCGCCGCCGCCGATCGTGCACCGATAGTGAACTGGAGACATCAGCTCTGTGTCCGCTCTGCGAAAGGAACCGTTGAATGATTTATGATGCCGCGAGCCGGCCGTCTGATGGCTCGCCGTGTTTTGAGCCAAACATGTTGTCGGCTGTCTTTTAACTCATGTGCAATGCAAAATCAGCGGGCACTGCTACCAGCGTTTGTAGCCCATTTACAATACGTCATCAGGAGGAGCCCGTGGAGCGTATAGTACGCGGCTGGCCGTACCGGACGTGCTGTCTGGGCACGTCAGAACGACAGGCTCGTCCACATGCGGAACTTTATATACTGTGGGGGGTGTAGCTACAACCCCAATTTTTAAAAGTACAACCCCAATGGCAAAACTACAACCCCAACATTGGAAAATTAAGAATTAGCCTGAAACACATGAAAATGAACAAAATATGTATCCCTTCAGAAGCAGATAATTGAGATATATCAAGAAAGTGAAGATATCAATAAATTAGGACATCTTTTTGAATTCCAGATGCTAAAAACATTGAAAGTGCTCTGTTAAGAACATATTATTCCGCTGAGACAGTGAGCAGAGCATGATATGAAAGTCAATCACTTCACACTTCTTAAGCATACTTAGTGAATCATATTGAAAGTGTTCCAAAAAATCTTAACATGTAACATGAAAGTGTGAAGCAAAAAAATCATAACATTCATCATACTTTTGCAGTGGCGAATCCAGCTCAGAGTTTGGGGGGGGGGGGGCAAACCATAATAATTTATCGATTCTTTCCATGCCTCGTCCATAGGCGTAATATTAAAATTATGCCGTTTGGGAGGGGCAAATGCCCATTTTGCCCCCCCCCCCCTGAATCCTGATCCGCCACTGTACTTTTGGGTTTTCTCACTAAATATTTCATACCTGTGGGCTGTGCTTATCAAAGAGATAAGCATAGATGAAAAATTTGACACAAAACAGCAAGCTTCAGAAATAAATTAACATAACCTAAGCCTCCACCCTATGTAGCATTCAATCGCCATAATCATAATATCAAATACATTTCTTAAGTGAAATATCACTCTGTTCGCAATTTTGTCAGTTGGCACAATACCACCAATCAGCACGAATATTTGGCTAAAATGACGACACTTGAAATCAACGTTGACGACCATAAAAAGTCCTGACGGCTACGCGCCCTAATCCACGAAGAAGAAGAAGACCATAAAAAGTAAAAACCAATCCTGTGCGATAATTAGTGCTGATAATCTTACTGACAGGTTCGCGAACAGAATGCAAACGATGCAAACTAAGTCACATGTAAGCCAGCATGACGCATTTGATACAAATGCAAGGTTTTGGCGACGTCTGTCAAATCAGCAGCAACGAATATCAGCCTCACAGCAGCATATTTCGGGGTCTTTCAATTTGGCTGAAAATCGGTATCCAGAGCCTCCTCGATGCGCTGATTCCGAAAATATGCCTCTTTGGGGTGGTATTTTGCACCGTTAACGAGTTAATGACCAATTAACATTTTAACGGGAAACGGCGGGGTCTTTCGATTTAGCTGAAAATCGGTATACAGGGCCTCCTTGATGCGCTGATTCCGAAAATGTACCTCTTTGGGGCAGTATTTTGCACCGTTAACGAGTTAACGGCTAATTAACATTTTAACCGGAAACGGCGGGGTCTTTCGATTTAGCTGAAAATTGGTATACAGGGCCTGTTTGATGCGCTGATTCCGAAAATGTACTTCTTTGAGGTAGTATTTTGCACCGTTAACGAGTTAACGACCAATTAACATTTTAACGGGAAACGGCGGCGTCTTTCGATTTGGCTGAAAATCGGTATACAGGGCCGCCTCGATGCGCTGATTCCGAAAATGTACCTCTTTGTGGTGGTATTTTGCACCGTTAACGAGTTAACGACCAATTAACATTTTAATGGGAAACGGCGGGGTCTTTCGATTTAGCTGAAAATCGGTATACAACGGCCAATCAACATTTTAACGGGAAACGACGGGGTCTTTCGATTTGGCTGAAAATCGGTGTACAGGGCCTCCTCGATGCGCTTATTCCGAAAATGTGCCTCTTTGGGGTGGTATTTTGCACCGTTAACGAATTAACGGCCAACTAACATTTTAACGGTAAACGGCGGGGTCTTTCGATTTAGCTGAAAATCGGTGTACGTTCAGTGTCTCAGGGGCAGACAAACAAGCCGCTATGTGTTCCTAGCCATCGTGGCTGTGAAGAGTATGCGTTTTGTTTACGATTCGCCAAACAATGCATAATACATTTGCTCGTTGAAAAAAGAAGATCATCTAGTTAATTGAAGTATTCGGTGATATGAAAAGGCTGTGGCATTTTTATTTAGTTTCCTCAGGTTGAGATAATTTAGATCCAGTGTTATGTTCCTTTGCGGCATTGTGTTCGGTATGTTGTCCTCGTTTGCAAAATATCTCATGTCTGATCAGTCACTATTCCGGTTTATACTACCCGTTTCCGTAATAGACGTATTCCAGACGACAGTGGCATTAATATACAAAGATGGACTCGTTTTAAGTTTTTTAGTCTAAAAATAACGTATTCCTGTTTAGGTCTTCGTTGTCAATTGCCACGAGTGGATTAAATTGTTACTCGTAGGGAAAGAGCCCTGCTCCAATACTGAGTAATGTTTGTGTCAAATGTGGAAAGAAACAAGTCAGTGGCGCGGGAACTTCTTCCAGACTGGGGGGGCTGAACCATCATAGAGATCAACCTAGGGTACCCCCAAATCTAGCTTTCTCATCGGTTTTAGGCCACTTATTTTTCAGACCTTGGCCTTTTCAACGAAAAAAAGAAGGAAATATTTGCAAAAAAGTGAGGTATTCCGTCTCAGCTGAGTGAAGAAACTACCGTTTTGGCAACCTGGAATAAAGGTTTTAAGCTGCCAAATGAGTTGCCGAGTCAGTAAAATAGGTAGATTTTTCACTCACATGCTTTCTTCCTTTGTGACTCACAACCCCTAATTTGGGGAGGACAAGCTGCCCAACGGTTCCTGGCCCCATGAAATGTTGTGAGGCACCGCCCCCACGGCCCCAGAGTTGTGAGGGCAAGCTTCCCCCACTGCCCTCTCCCCCGGTTCCCGCGCCTATGTATGAATCTATGAAATTGTGTTGGTAGATTTCCGATTTCGATTCCTCCAGCTGGGGGGGGGGGGGGGGCTCAAATACATTACGAGCCCCCCCAGCCGAAAAGTTGGAGGGGCTCAGCCCCCCTAGCCCCCCCGGTTCCCGCGCCACTGAAACAAGTATTCATAGGGACTGTGATTTTGGGCGTTTACCTACCGTTTCCGAATCGCCACGACCAGTACCTAGCGGCGGAACACCCTCAATTAAGGGGGGCACTGTCGACTTTTAATCCCATTCTTTCCATGCAACGCCCATAGGGCTAATGTTAAAATGCCAAAATCAAAGGGGGCACGGTTCCCCGGTGCCCTCCCCGTTCCGCCGCCTATGGCCACGACCATGGTGGCGACTGGCGATACCCGAGTACCTACAACCAGGCACATAGCCAATGGAGGGACGACAGGGTCAGCCGTCTCTCCCTGGAGATGGACCACTTTTATTTTTTTTTTATTTTTTTTTTGTAACTGAAAATGTGGGCCCCTCCCGAAAAATAGTGGGCCGAATCCGGGGACTTTTCGGGTTTTGGTGGGGGTATACCCTGGGCTCCGGCAAACTACAACCCCAATGAAAAACAAAAAGTTCCACCTCTGGGCTCGTCCCCGGCGGCTGGGCCGGTGAGGGCTGTCAGAGGAGTCGCGGATCGGTTACGTCATCAGCAATGGCGTCTGGTGCTGGGTGTTGCGACAATCACGACAGTCGCTGTTTTGTGACAATGTGATGGGACACTCGGGGTCTTTATTGCAAAATGCTTAGCATGCATTCATATTTCATATCCATCATTAATCGTTGGTCGTATTGATTAACGCAGATATTCATTTTTTTTTGGTAACAGTGATAATTTAAGATGCTACCAAACGGCATAAATACTTAGTAGAATATCTTCACGACCTCGTAAGAGTAGGCTCCATCACGTATTCAGCGCCTACTCGATGCTCGTATAAGGACACGTTTACCACCCAGAGTAGCATGCCAGTTTCATTTTCCAACCCCAATCTCAGGTTACCTACTCGACTACCGTGTAGCGCCTAAGCAGCATTGCTCGACGCTTGTTTACGATCAGACGTGCATATCCGACGCTGTTTTCGATGCACTCGAGCGGCTTTTCTCCCCATTTAGTGCACGTGCCGGGTCGGGAAGCGCGCCCACCGCCGCCTCGCCCGCGCCGCGTCTGTCTCAGGGACGCCGGCCTCGCCTCGGCGAGACAAAAACAGCGCCACGCACACGCACGGAAGATGCCGACGGCAGCCATCTCCGCCTCCCTGATATCTTAGCTTCTCCTTAAACACGGCAATTAAGCGGGCCGGAGGTTTTTCTGTCAGCTGACGACCGGAGTCGGGATGGGAACAGCGCGTGCCGGCCGCACGAGATGTCCACTTTTTCGGCGGTCTGTGGAGCGTATTTTTACCGACTAACTGAATTTCATGTCTTCATGCGTGTTACGAGCGGCTCGTAATGAGTGGGAGGAGGTGATGATTGTAGGGGCTGGGGTGGGGGAGGGCGAGAGAGCCCCGGCTGGAGGTTCCCATCCCGGTGGCCTGAGGAGCGACTGGGAGGGGCAGAAGCGGTGGGCGTTTTAGATGGTAAAATAGCTTCTCGCTGTGTGAAGGGCTACCACTATGTGTCTGAATAATTAACTAGTCAAGTAACGGTCAATTGACGTTCTAGTCTTTACGAGCATCGTATAGGCAATACCTAATGCCATCTAAGCTTTATTGAAACAAGATTGATATCTAGCCACATTGGTCAGCATCATGACCATCTTATTGTCCCCGTGCCCCTGTCGCGGTGGACCCGCGGGCGCGCGCCCGCGGGCCCTACCGGTGTGACAATGAGCCTCCCACCCTCCCTGCCCCGACCTTCCCTGCGCATCGGTCCGGCGCAGGCCGTCCGACCGACCCGGGTGGTGCTGCCATCTGTTGTCGCTGCGGCCAACTACCGTCGCAGCCCCGCCGGCCGTGCTCGCCGTGCCCGGGCGTGCTCTGGCGGCGTGCCGGCGCGTCGCTCGGGGACACAGCCTGACCATGGCGCGGGTCACGTCTGCCCGCGTGGCGCGTGTGCCCAGAATGGGAACGGTGGCCACCGCCGCGCCGGAAAATGATATCTTCCGTGAGCTCATTGGGAATTCTGAACTGGCGGCAATCGGTACCGAGGAGGATGGTGCTAGACGGGGAGGTGGTCCGCTCCCTTCCGCTCCAATCCCTCGCGGCTGCGCAGCTCGGGACACCAGGGGTGGAGAAGGGAGAGCCTGGGCTTGATTTAGACGAAACGATGTGTAATTATTTGCAACGCACGCATATCAGCATCGTCAATGAAGCCGATGGGAGACTTTGTTAGGTAGAGACACACGAATTCCCAATCAACTAAATGGAAGAGATGCTTTCTGGAAAGATAATGTTACGAACAGAGTTTTCTTTTGAGTTCAACTGTGAGCGATTTTGTATTTAATTTCTTGGAATATATAATTTACGATTGCTCATCCATGGATGCATGGATTTCCGGTGCCCGGTGCCCCCCCCCCCTCCCCGCGCGCTGAGTGAGAGGCGCGTATTTCAGGTGTCTCACAGCACGATATCCGATATCGTACCCCGGCACCGTCATTATTTAAATCACCGGCTTCTGTAGGCTTAGCTATACGCTACCTGAACTCAACTCCCACGTAGGTAGGTGTAGGGTGCGGTTTCTCACGCCGATCTGGTATCGGCTGTAGCGGAAGGTCATGACCTGATGGGGCTGACCTGATGAGGTCACCTGACCCTGAGCAGGTGAATCGACAGGCAGCTGGAGCGGCTTTTGTACTGAAGAGGGTGGTATGTGCTAACGCTGTCCGGTAATGCTCAATGCTCATCCGCCAAGCCACGAGCAGCTCATTTAATTACCGATAAAAGTGATTTTTCGCACGGCCGTATATCTTTTGTCATAAGCAATCTATGTCTCTTCATACTGACCCCTGCCTAAATTGGGAGAAATGCCTGGGTGCGCTTTTCCTTTGCTTGATTAAGTCGTGATGGTAGGAGGTAATACGATGTGATCTTTAATAACGATGCGTGACTCGATGAGAACATCCTGCCGCCATTTACGACAAACGTTTGTGTCGAAATGCATTAGGGCATAACGCTATGACTACGACTCGTGGTTATCACAGACTTTCACGACTTTTACAATCACGCTTTCAAGGTAGAAGTTATACCTTTTTACGATATTTGGTAATTATTGATATCGCTCAAAGTATGACTGCCTAAACGAAATGTTCACTTGTTTCATTGCCTAAATTTTACATCGACTATACGGACCTGCGATATAAGGTGGTAGC